GGAACATCCCATGGAGATAGTTTATCGATGGTACACATAACACAGTTTTAGAAAATACCTTTTGCGGACCAACTGAAAAATGGTAAAAATGGCAAGTTCATCCTGACAAGTCAGGATGATTCTAAACTATTTTCATAAGAGCATCTTTCAGCTTCTGTAATCAAGGCTAGGGAAGAAACCCAAAGAAAGTCAGTTGGGCATAATTATGACTGCATCATTACTTTGCTGGTGTGGGTTAACTAAATGACCCTAAACTTCTTTCTGAGTCCTACCAGTAGCCGTGACCTCTGCCTCGAGGTCTGCATGCTTTCCCAACAGGGACAGGTAAACCTGCCATGAGCCCTAAGATGAGGCTTAACTACATGCGTGGCAGTGACCAATGGGGTATTCGATAACTGGAAGTGGGTCTGGGCTTTTAGGCTAGCTGGCTTGCACCCCCACCATCACCATGAGCTGGTGAAGTCTGGCCTGGCCCACTGGTCGCAGGAGGTGGATGAGCAATACACAGAACAGAGCTGGCTGACCCACAGCTAAGGTCAGTGGCCAGCCAGCCCAATGCCAGCAGACCCCCAGACATGGCAGTGAGTCCAGGCCTGACCGGCAGAGCTACCCACCAATAGAGCTGGACAAAGAAACTTACTGTTTTAAGTTACTGATGTTTTGTGATTGTTTGTTAGACTGCATTTTCTGGTGATAGTGAATAGGAATGTTGATAACTAGATATAAAAGATGTATCATACAGAAATAATGATGGATCACACAGGAATAAAGATGGATCACACAGAAATAAAGATGAATCACACAGGAATAAAGATGGATCACACAGGAATAAAGACGGATCACACAGGAATAAAGATGGATCACACAGTAACATCCCTGGGTGTCACTAATAGTTAAGTGCTCAGCTGGTAACTGAAAAGTTGGGGGTTTGAGTCCACCTAGAGATTCCTTAGAAGAAGAGCCTGGTGAGCTACTTCTGAAAACTCAAGACACTAAAATCCCTACAGAGTACAGTTCTCTGATACACACAGAATCAACTACTTTTATTCCAGAACAGAAACCCCAAATATGCTAAATTGGCTTTGGGATTGGGTAGTAGATAGACTAGAAAAATGTCAAGTCACCCACATGACAGAACAACTGGCAAAATTGTCTCCTGCAATAACCTAGAGGGTAGAGAGTGCTCTTAATGAACTTTCAGGCTTCAACAAAGAGATTCATTTCAGTGCCTTAACAAGCTGCATAAAGTAAGATCCCCACAAGAAAGAAACCGCCTCAAAGAAAAGATCTAGCCATTTTCTAAGCAGAATTTAGAGGGAATATAGGAGTTCTGGTGTGGTGTGGTGCTGTGGAATAAAGTACTGGACCACAAGGTCAGTTTAAACCACAGGGTCAGCAGTTCAAATTCACCAGCTGCTCCTCAGAAACCCTATCCAAGGTTGCTATGAGTCGGAACTGACTCAACAGCACTTAATAACAACAACAACATAGAAGTCCAAGATTTGTTTGGATGGCAGAGTTTATCATCTGTAGCATCTCCAGTCAGAAAGATTTTCAAAGTAAGGAGGAAGACTGAGGACAAAGGTCCTATCCAGGAATCTGATTTTAGTGTTAAACCCTAATGAGGGATGTGAACGCATGGCTTTCTGTTAAAGCCTCTAACAAATTCTTCTCTCAGATGCACTAAAGGATTCTTAGAACTCTCAAGGAACTCAACCCAGAGATGCCTGAGATGCCGAAAGTGATCGCAGTTGAGTTTAGGGAGGCAAGTTTTAGAAGAATTGAGAATGTGGCTTTGGGCACATGGTTATACAGGAAACTCACTGCGGTGAATTCTTTAATGTCTCTTCTAGTCACAGTCTGTAAACTCCTACCAAATGACTTTTCCCTGGTGGGTCTGGGTGAAAGAAGGTGGGGGAAGATGTTGATGGAGTTCATGATTCAGTTGTGAGTGATTGTTAACAGGGCTAGTTGTGATTGGTCAATTTTGCCATGTTGCAGGGTATAAAATGAGTCAGCTCAGAAGCAGGAATGCGGGAATCTCACAACCATCAGAGAAGAGGAGCCAGGAGTGGAGCAAGTCATTTGGACCTTGAGATCCCGGTGCATTGAAACTCCTCGATCCAGGGACAGAAAGCTGTGGCCGAGGAGAAACAGCAACAGAACCAAGAGCCACAGCACAAGACAGAATGGTGGGCTTCCCAGCCAGGGAGCAAGTTACGCTGAGTGACACTGGGCAGGAGGCTCAGTTGTGGAGCAGGTTTGCTGCCTCGTGGAGCTAGAGCCGATCTGAGGCTTAGAGTGCAGTGGTAGGCCCTGTGGGCATTTATGAGCCGTGCTAAAAGAGTTTTGTGGCATTACGAGAACAGCTTAGAGGCCAAGGACCAGAGAGCGGTCTGCTTGTGGACATAGCTGGGAACAGGCTGCCCTAATGGGTACAACTGTGCTTTGAGCATTTCTGATCCTGAATCCAGTCATCTGTTAACTTCCCTCATAAACCCCTTCCCTGCGAGTATGATGTCTGAGTTCTATGTGGCTGTTAGAACAGATGATCAAACCCAGGAGCAGAGAGTATTATGAGAGGCAGGGTTGGTGTCCTGTTTTTACACCCACGAAGTTTTCAAGAACGGCAAAACTGTTACCACCCTAGACAAACCCCAAATATAAACAGACCCCACACTTTCTATAGGCAGGAAGCAGGTGGAGAAAGTTTCTCAAGGAACACATTTTCCAATCCTTTTCAGAAGTAGCTAAGGCAAGTGGTGGAAGGGTGTTCCAGGGCACTGAGTCAAGAGTCAGGGAGCTGACCCAGGGTCTAATCAAGGGACACTCCCTGACCCCAAAGAGATTCAGAAACACTATCTATGGACTAGAGAGACTGCCTCGCAGTCTCCCCCTTGTATGGCAAATTAGCAGCAGTATCTTGGCTGTTTCATCTTTCATGATGGGTATGTTAGGCAGAAAACTGCTTATTGCTGGGCAGTTATGTGAGAGAAATAAACCTCTACCTTGTGTGAGGCCATGTTTGGGTTTCATTGTTAAAGCAGTTCAATCTGTACCTCATAAATACATATGCCAACTTGCCACCCATCACTGCTAATTATTCCCAGGTCTCTAGATCAGGGGAAACCATATCCTAACCAGACGAAGATCACAGATAACAGCCTTTCACGATCCTGTGACTGGATGAGACCTGTGAGGGTCTTAAGTGGGTATGAGATGTGAAAGTTGGTGGGCATGAAGCTAGACTGTGATTGTTTGTAAATGAGATGCCAGTTCTTTATCCCTCCCTAAATACCTGGTCTTTACTATGTAACCTTGTAGTGACTACCAACAATGGGTAAACTAAACCCCTCCAGGCCCACCTCTGCAACTTATTTTAGTCAATGGGATATTTTAAGACTTTATACAGGCAAAGGTTTGAAATAGGGTTATGCACTGGGGTTTGTGTATCTGCCACACCACAAGAAAGACAAGTCTCAGCTTGGTCCTTCACTGGTCCCAGTAGAAGGACGAGAACCCTGTGGAGCAAAGCCTAATTACCCTAGCCAAGTTTAACCAATGGACTGCCAGCTCAACCCACACATGTGATTTAGTTCCACCAAATCTACTTTACTACTGACTTTGTCAAGTATTTTTCCACCAAGTCTTCCCATACTGAAGAAGCTCTGGTGGTGTAGTGGGTTACCCACTGGACTGTTAACCACAAGGTCAGCAGTTCGAACCCACTGGCGGCGCCATGGGAGAAAGAAGAGGTTATCTGATACCATAAAGATTTACAGACTCAGAAAACCAAAGGGCAGTTCTTCTCGGTCTTACAGGGTTGATAGGAATCAGAATTGGCTCAATGGCAGTGGGCTTTGATGCTGCTGTACGATCAGCACTGAACTGCTAATTACTAGGTCAGCGGTTCAAATCCACCAGCTGCTCTCTGGGAACCTCATACAGGGTCTCTATAAGTCATAACTGACTTGACAGCACTTAACAATGACAACAATACTGAATTAAAGCATCCTGGTACAGCACTGTATGATAAGCACTGGACTCCTAACTGTAAGGTCGAGAGTTCAAAGCCACCAGCTGCTCTTTGGCAATGCTTTATAGCATCACTATGAGTTAGAACTGACTCAACGGCACTTAACAAATGCTGAATTAATTCGAGCGTATTTTATAAAACAATCAAGCTGTCTAGTCCATACATTATGTGGGAATTGATTACAAATACATTGTCTATGTCTCAATTTCAATTTCAATTTCATTTCATGCATATCCTCCAATACATAACTTACTAGTGGACAAGTTATAAAGTTACATAGAGCTATATGAGCGCATATATATGAGGGAAAGGAGCTCTGGTAGTGTAGTGGTTATGAATCGGGCTGCTAACCTCAAGGTCAGCAGAGGTTCCGTGGGAAAAAGATGAGGCTTTCTGCTCCTGTAAAGATTTACAGCCTCGGAAACCCTGTGCAGGGTCACTATGAGTCGGAACCGACGCCATAGTATTTAACAACAACAACAATATATGAGGGGCTTCAAACAGTTCATGGAATGACTCCATTAACTTTTCCCACAAATTTCTGAAGCCCCCTTATTCCCCCTTATTGTTGTTGCTAAGAACCGTGAAGTCGGTTCCGACTCATGGCGACGTTGTACAGGGTTTCCGAGGCTGTACAGGGAGCAGAACGCCTCATCACTCTCCTGCACAACCGCTGGTAGTTTCAAACTGCTGACCTTGTGGTTGGCAGCCTGACTCGTAAGCACTATGCTACCAGAGCTCCTTATATAGTTATAAATTTGACCCTCCTCATATTTTACTCTAAACTATCCTTCCAGGTAGGTGACAGGCAAAATTGCACAGAATGGGATGATTATCGCCTCCTGATTCATGTACTTCTATTGCACCTCAGTTCTCTCAGGTGCTTTAAAGATGCACCCATGGTTTAAACAACAGGAAGTTAGGAGCATCACAGCGTCACCAGAGACCCATGAGAAGGACTTACCCGTGTGGGACCGGAGGTGGACGGTGAGCTGGCTGGAGTTGCGGCTGGCGTAGGGGCAGATCTGGCACTTGAACGGCCGCTCGTCGGAATGGATCCGCAGGTGCTTGTTCAGGCTGCTGCTGTCGGCTGCGGCGTAGTCGCACGTCTTGCACTTGTAGGGTTTGAAGCCGGTGTGGCAGCGCATATGAGTCTTCAGTTTATCCTTCCGGCTGAAGCATTTGCCGCAAACGTCACACTTATGGGGTTTGTCTCCTTCAAACACACACACAGATGGCATCAGGAAGCCAGGTTACAAAAGACACACCCCTGGTGGCACCATGGTTTAAGCACTGGGCTGTCAAGCAAAAGGGTGGCGGTTCAAATCCACCAGCCACTCTGAAGGAGAAAGATGTGGTAATCTGCTTTCATAAAGGTTCGCAGCCTTGGGAACCCTGTTGTGCAGTTCTATTCTGTTTTATAGGGTCACTATGAGGAGCTCTGGTAGGATAGTGGTTACGAGTCGGGCTGCCAACCTCAATATCAAGGTCAGCAGTTTGAAACTACAAGCAGTTCTGCAGGAGGAAGATGAGGCGTTCTGCTCCCATAAAGATTTACAGCCTAGGAAACCCTGTGCAGGGTCACTATGAGTTGGAATCGACTCCACAGTACTTAAAAACATGAGTCCGAATCAACTTGATGGGGATGGGTTTTGGGTTTGGTATTATTAAAAAAAGTAATAGAGTCACCCCAGAATATTCAGAAAATGAAAAAAAAAACCAAACTTTTTAAAAGCTAGATGATTAGAGATGATCATCTGGCATATTGCAAGCAGGGAATTCCCTTCTGTTTTGTTTATTGTTGTTAAGTGCCGTCCAGTCGATTTTGACTCATAGCGACTCTGTATAGGTTTCTGAGGAGCGGCTGGTGGATTTGAACCTCTGACTTGCAGTTCAAATGGACCTTGCAATCCAGCGCATTAACCCACAGTGCCACACCAGGACTCCATTTTGTTTACTAGTATTTTCTATATTTTTTTCTATATTGAAATGATTACTTAAAAACAGAATTCACCTACAGTAAAATGTTAATGTTTTTATATGAAATAAAAAGCTGATCCTTGTCTCTTGCATTCATTCTCTTCTTTCTCTTCACAGTAAAGCCCCACTCTAAAATTCAGAATCCCTAAGTTTTAGTTAATGTCATGGGCTGATCAAAGGAATCCTGGTGACCCAGGGGTGAAGGGTTTAGCTGCTAAGTGAGAGGTTGGCTTTCAAATTTGCGTAGCAGGAGAAAGACCTCGCATACAGATGACAGCCAAGAAAGTTCTACTCGGTCACATGGGCTTGCTGTGAGTCAGAACCAACTACACAGCACCTAACAACAATGGCTGAGCAGCTAAAGACTATATTTCCCAGTCTCTCTTGCAGCTAGGTATGACTCTGTGACTAACTTGCCAAGGAATGGCAGAAAAAGTAAAATGCAAAGAAATTGCCTGTCTTTTGCTCTTTCTCTTTCTCCTCTTCTTGTTAAATGTAACCTGGACATGGGGGCGAGCCAGCAGGTGAGGTCAGGTGAAGGTAGGAAACCTATAGGCAGCGAAGTACTTTATTGTTGTTACTTGCTGTCCAGTTGGTTCCAACTCATAGCAACTCTGTATAGAGCTTCTGTGAGTTTGAACTGCTGACCTTGTAGTTAGCAGTCCAGTGTTGATCCTACAGTGCTACATCAGGACTCCCTAATGTAAACGAACGTAATATATTGCAACACAATTTAACAACATTAAGTAACGAGGCAGAAGGAGCCTACGGTCCTGCCTGCTTGCTAAACACAGAGCCACCCACCTGCCATATACGACCTGCTAACCACTCGTCAGCTGTGCATGAGAGAAATAAACCTCAACCTTGTGTGAGGCCATGTTTGGAGTTTACTGTTGTTAAGTGCTGTCAAGTTGGTTCCGACTCAGAGCGACCCTGAATAGGATTTCCGAGGACACAGAAGCTCAATCTGAACCAACTTGCCACCTATGAACTACCAATTACGTAATGTATACTTTCCCAAGCTTTTCTGGCTGCATTGGGTGTGTGCTGGTATAAAAACACTCTTGTCTAACTCCAACTGAAATACCTACCTCTTGAAAGGTACTGTGCCTTTGCATTATTTTACTGAATATACCCAGTGGCTGGGACTATAACTGGAATTGCCTTCTTAACCACACTCGTACCCTGCTTCTCCACGACTTTCTTGCATGCAAAACACTTTCGGTCATTTTTTCACATCTTTAAATGTGCACAAGACAGTACTTTATTGTTGTTGTTGCTGTTCTTAAGTGCTGTGAAGTCAGTTCCAATTCTTAGTGACCCTACACAGGGTTTCTGAGGCTTTAAATCTCCATAGAAGCAGAAAGCCTCATCTTTTTCCAGTGGAGTCGCTGGCAGGCTTGAACCACAGATCTTGTGACTCATACCTAGTCGAGTGCTTATCGTATGGAGCCACCATGTCCTTACTGTACTGTAGGAATGGATTAAAAAGTATTATACCACTCCTGACTTAGCCACTGAACAGAATGAAGCAGACAGGTACACACTGATATGGAAAGATACCTGACATTGAAAAGAAGAAAAGCAAGTTGTAGGGATGTTGTTGTGTGTTACTGAGTTGACTGTGTCCCTCTAGAACTGTCCCCCTAGGATGTCCTGGGTGGAATCTTTCCAGGAGCAGATCTCTATGTTTTTTTTCTGCTGCAGCTGCTGGGCTGAACCACCAACCTGTTCAGTTAGCCACCGAATGCCTGACCATGTGCCACCAAGACCCCTTTACAGTGTACAGTGTTCTAACTTATTAATAAAGAAGGAAAAACCATTTTTTAAATGTGTGTTTTAGGCCCATAATAGGCAGGTACACATTTTGCCAGGATACATACTAGATTACTGAGGCCGATGACTTTGGGGAGATGGGATTGGAAGGAATTAGACTGTGAGTAAGGATTTTTCACTTTTTAGTTTCTAATTCAAGGATATCAAATCTGTATTCTGGCCAAAGGCTAAATGTCTCTGGATATGTCAAATGGGTTTGGCCTGGATTCTCAGTGGTTTAGCAGTTCAGGTGAAGTGATCACCTCCATGATGATGACCTCATAGCCATGATGACATCATAGTCATGATGTGATGTCATTGTGCTGTAAATCCTCACTCTATGATGCTAATGAGGCCATATGCAGTCTCCAGGATTAGGTTGTCTCTTGAGTTAATCTTTTGTGAGATAAAAAAGGAAAGAGACGTGAGCAGGGTTCAGAGGGACCTACTATTACCAAGATAAAAGAACTAAAAGTGTAGAGAGGGGCAACTTAGACATTGGCTACCTAAAATGGGGAAGGTGGGGGAGGAGGGGTTATAAAGGCATGAAGTGACTGGCTTACAAGTTTTCAAGAGAAAGTTTGGTTTCAAAGTGTGTAGGGAAGGCAGAGTCCCCACTGAATAGTTTTCCTCTTGTCTAGAAGTGTCTGGTGAAAGGAGATGGGCATAAGATTTTTATGATTCATTAGTGAGTAATTGTTATTGTGACTGTGATTGTCACAACTGTAAAGGTAGAAGTTTTGTAACATAAAGGGGGGATTCGTTAATCTGACATTCCAGGAACAGAAGACCCTAAAACCATCATGGGAGAAGAACATGAATGGAAAATGGGACCCTATCCAGAGAAGCAGCGACACCAGAGATGGAGGCAGAGATGAGGACATGGAGAGAGGGAGCAGCTGAGGACTCTAGACTCATGGAAAGAGACAGTCTGTGTGCTGGCGGCCAGGAGGCAGGCTTGCAAAATGTGCCCTTTGAATGTTTAAATGATTATATATATATTCCTGAGTGTTTTTGTGTCCATCGAAATCAAACAAACAACAACAAAATAGGGAACAGAAGCAAATACTGTTGAATGATATGCACAGAGGGGACTGTAATCATTGCAATGAAATATGACAGGATGAGTGTAAAGCCATTGTTCTCCCATGTAAACTATCACTCAATTCACAATAAAAACTTAAAAAAAAATAAAACAAAAAAAGACTAGGAGTGGAATACATCCTTTGGGCCTGGTGTCCCTGCACTGTGATGTTCCTAGAGATCTCCAAGGAATGCTGGGTCTACAGAAGCTGAAAGGAAACCAGGACCTTTGCCCAGAGCTGACAAACAGAAAGTCTTCTCCTAGAGCATGCACTCTGAAACGTGGACTTCTCGCCTCCTGAGCTGTGAGAGAATACATTTCTGGTTGTTAAAGCCTCCAGTTGTGGCATTTTTCTTACAGCAGCACTAGGGCACAGTGGCAGCAGCAATGGGCTCTAGCATACCCAGGATTGTGAAGATGCTGCAGGGCCGGGCAGTGTTTCATTCTGTTGCGCAAAAGGATGCTATGAGTCGGTACCGACACAACAGCGCCTAACAACAGACAGGGATCTAGGGTAACCTCCTACCCCATTGCCAGCAAGTAGATTCTGACTTATAATGACCCTATAGGACCCTATAGGAGAACTGCTCCAGAGAGTTTTCAAGACCATAAATCTTTACAGGAGCAGACAGCCTTATCTATCTTCTTTGAGTAGCTGGTGGGTTTGAACTGCCAAGTTTGCTGTTAGCAGCCCAATGCTGAACCCACTGCACTACCAGGACTCCTTCAAGATTAAATAGTCAAGTGCTAAAATCAACTGTCAACCAAATCCAACTACTTTCATCATAGAATGAATATCTGGTGTTTAAGAATCTATCTCAAAAGTTGATTGAAAAGAATTTGATAATTGAAAATTTTAGTGGTCCAATTTTAAAACGCATTTCTCAGCACTGTCAGTTGCTAAATAGCTCTGGGGGTCACTGTATTGTGTGTTTGAGAACCGGAGAGTGGATGTGATGGCGGTAGAATGGATTCAGTGTCAGCTAGTTCTCCCAGTAAGGAGCGTTAGTGTGGTTGCAGCAGGATATTCAGCACCTCTTCCTCTCTGGGGTTACTGAGTATGGTAACAACACCTTCTCATCAGCTCTCCATTTTGAAGACGTCAGTGGAGATGCTGCTGTTCTGTGGAAACGATCCCAGCTTGGAAACGAACACACCACTGGCTTTGTGAAGAAGACGCTTTCTGAAAACGTGCCCAAACAGACTGAAGATCTTGGCCTTCATGTACATATTTACATAATGCTTTTTTCAGTCATCTTTAATAATTGGAGTGCTTTGCTCTGCTCTTCCAGTGATAATTATGCTATTGTGGACTGATCGAATGAATGTGTCACCACTGGAAACCAAAACGCAAGTTTCATTCTCCCTTATTATATTGAAAATGTTTACTGATATTTGAAATAGAATATTTGGTTAATTATAATCATACCAAGTAACATAATGCAGTGAGGCTGAGCCCAACACAATAAGGCAATATTGATCATGGTCAATATTTAGTTTTCAAAATAAATATCATAGCGGTGTACATTCCCGCATTTGCCAGTTCATCTTCCAAAGGCTGAGGCTTAACAGCTGACTTTGGGCAGTTAATGAAGCCAAAGTTGAATTTCAGTATGGTCCTACCCTGGTCACACTTTTACTATGAATTTAGACATGCTGAGTGGGAGTCAGCTCAATGGCACCTAACAAGGGACATGAAATTTTTTTTCTTTTTCTGTGTAGTGGTCTTTTTCTTTAGTTTTTATTTTATTGTGGTTAAAAATCTACGTATTGCCCAGATTATTTTAAGCCTTCAGTTAAAGAGGATTATTTACAGATAGTATTCATCTAAGGGAAAAATGTCTCTGATTATAAGGTTATTTTATAAAAAAAAAATAATAACCAAAATGAGGTCCTGTTCTTTATTAAATGTTTGTATATGGCCAATCCAGAACTCAGTTTTCACAGCAATTCAGTTAATTTATAAAAGCATTTTTCATCTTCTGTTGCTTCTCTTTGAAGAGAACAGTTTTAATTAAGGTACAAAAAAAAAGCTGTCTTACTAAATGTAATCGTCATTAAAAAAAAAAAAAATCTACGTAACAAAACATTTGCCATCTCAACATTTTTTAATGACATTAAGTTCATCACTCTTAACAGCGACTCAGTGGTGTTCAAGCCATGATTTCAACCTTTCTTTGCTGTTTCCTCCTGCCTTGGAGTGCTGATGTGGCGCTGTAGGATAAGCAATGGACTGCTAACCACAAGGTTGGCGGTTCAAACCCACAAGCTGCCCTTGGATGCCCTATACAGGGTGGCTGTGAGTTGGAACCAACTTGATGGCACTTAACAACAACCTGCCCTTTAAAGTACAGACAGTCCCAGTCTCTGACTGACAACGTATTCGTGTTATACTGAACCACACTTAAAATCAGCTGTGTTTATTTATTTACCTTTTTTGGGGGAGAGAGATTACATTTTATGGTTAGTAATAAGTCCTACTGTGGCACTATGGGTTAATGCACTGGACTGCAAAGTCAGTGTGAACTGCAAGGTCAGCGGTTTAAGCTCACCAGCTGCTCCTTGGAAACCCTATACAGGGTTGCTATGGGTCGGAACCAACTTTATGGCACTTCATAACAAAAACAACAACAACATGAACTAGAATTCCTGGTGTGGTGCTGTAGGATAAGCACTAGACTGCAAACCATAAGGTAAGCAGTTCAAACCTACCAGGTGCTCTTTGGAAACGCTCTACAGGGTTGCTATGAGTGGGAACCAACTTAATGGCCCTTAACAACACCAAGATAAACGAATGCTTACAATGTTGCAGCGTGTGATTCTTTGATGTTCATTCACAAATGGTCAATGTTATGATTTATAAAGATCCCAATAATACAAGGCAGTAATAATGAAAACTAAAAAAAATAAATGTCAGATTCAACTTACTACAGAGTAAGAACCCTGTTGTAAGTCAGGGGCTGTTAGTATTTATTTACTGCATTCCCCTTCACAATTGGCTAAATAACACAAGCTCACTGTAGCCAATGACAGAGAAAAACTTGTCAAGCTTCCAGAAATGCATGTTCGTTTACTTTTATGGGAATGTCTCCTCAAAATGAGAATGTGGACATCCACAGATTCGTTTTCAAAACACCTGGTGGTACACATTCCCACCCACATCCTCTCCGGCATAGGATTTTATCACTTTTAAACATTGTTCTGCCAAAATAAAGAGTAAAAATCAGCCTCTTATTTTTAATCCACTTTCATTTGAACCAATGAGGTTCTGTATCCCTTAGCACAGTTGACGTTTCAGGATCCGCAACTCCGAGTAGAAAGCAGGTGTTCAGGGTGTATGTGTGAACCAAATGTTACTTACCTGTGTGAATTTTTAAATGTCGCTCCATGTCCTTCATACCATAGGCAGTCTTGAATTGGCAACCTAAGAAAAAGCAAGGAAACATCATTACAAAAGGATACATTTCATCTGTTCTGGGGCGGGTGGTTGTTGAGAATGTTGTTGTTCTGTGTCATGGAGTCTGTTCCGACTCATAGCGACCCTGCACAGGGTTTCCGATCTTTACAGGAGCAGAAACCCTCATCTTTCTCCCACGGAACAGCTGGTAGTTTCGAACCACTGACTGTGAGATTAGCAGCCTGATTCGTAACCACTATGCTACCAGAGCTCCTTGTTGAGAATAGACACATATACCAACTTCAACAGCTTCTGCATGTGCTGTTAATTCAACGACAATGGTTATCTTGTTATAGTTCTGCAATCACTCTTAGCCTCTTTTTCTGAATTGTTCTTCCCCCGTGAACATAAACTCATTGTCCCTGGGTTTCTTACTACCTTTCCAGTTGCTGTCATCAGCTGATTCCAAATAGATTTAGAAAAGCACAATGCAGACGTACTCTACAAACGAAGCTAAAATACTTGTTTGGTTTTAAGACTTCAGGGAGGATTTTCTGTTTAAGGTTTAACAATTATGTCAGAGCACTGGTTTCAGAAGTTCATGGGTGCATGTGGTCTTTAAAGAAGCCTGGCAGAAACCACCTTAGTCAAGTGATTCAAGTTAACATCACAGAAATGGGTCAAAGATATCAACTGTCTCCTGATTCCATACGCCAAGAAGGACATAATATCAATGCTGTGGTTACTGCCTAAGCTTCCTTAACGAGATCTAGACGTTCCTTGGAAACCTTACACAGGGTTGCTACAAGTTGGAACCAATTCAATGGCACTTAACGACAACAACGTCTCACAAGGAGCCATTGGATAAACCAAACTACAGGCACAAACTGGGCTGTATGTTAGAAAACTACACAGGTCACAAAGGATAAAAGCTGAGGAACTAATCCTGATTAAAGGAAACTAAAGGCACATAAAAATGAAACGTTATGTGTAATCCAGAATTGTTTTCAGAGGAGGGAGAATATTTCTCTTTTGATCTAAAAGACATGTGTGGGACTAATGGAATTTGAATCAAGACAGTAGAATTAATGCCAGCTGCTACGGAGTCAATTCTGAGGCAGGATGACTTCATGTGTTCTATAGGGTTTTCAAAATCTGAATTTTTCAGGAGAACACCAGTTCTTTCTTTTGGGGCACCTCTGAGTGGCCTTGAACTGCCAACCTTTTGATCAGTAGGCTGGCACGTCACCGTTGGCTCCACCCAAGGACTGCAGATTTGGTAACAGTACTGTATGAATGTTAATTGCCAGATTTGATGACTGTATCATGGTTCTATAAAACAATTCCTTGGATTTTAGAAAACATGTGCTGGTAAAAGGGCATCATACATTCAACTGATTTTCTAAAGTTTTGAGGAAAAAAACAGATGAACGAACGAGGGTGCTTCAGAAAGTCTGGGGAAGGAAATGAAGATAAGATTCTTATGATTCAATAGTGAGTAATTGTCATAGTGATGAATTGCAAGTGTTACAACTGTTAAGATAGAGGTTTTGTGGCAAAAAGGGGGCAGTAATTAGTCTTATATTCCAGGAACAGAGGACCCTAGGACCATCAAGGGAGAAGAGCACGAGTAGAATGTGGGACCCTAACCAGAGAAGCAATGACACCAGAGATGGAGGCAAAGATGAGGACATGGAGAGAGAGAGCAGCTGAGGACACCAGACTCATGGAAAGAGAAAGGCTGTGTGCTGGTGGCCAGGGGGCAGGCTTGCAGAATGTGCCCTTTGGTTGTTTAAAATGATTCTACATTCCCGAGTGTTTTGGTGTACATCTAAAAAAAAAAGGAAGAAGGAATAGAGGCAGGTACTGAATGATGATGCATGGCGGGGGTTGTAATCATTGCAATGAAACGAAATACGACAGGATGAATATAAAATTGGAAAAATTCCATTGTTTTATAATTCCATTTTCCCACAATTTTTGAAATGCCCTCCTTTGTGGAGAAAATGACCATACAAATACAGCAAACTGGTAGCGTTTAGGGAATCTATACTGGTGTGGTGCTGTGGGTTAATGCGCCAGACTGCAAAAGCCATTTGAACTGCAAGGTCAGTGGTTTAAGCTCACTAGTCATTCCTTGGAAACCCTATATAGGGTTGCTATGGATCAGAACTAACTCAATGGCACTTAACAACAACAACATATGAGGAATATACAGATGTTTTTTAGTAATGTTTTTGCAACTTTTCTGTAAGTCTGAAATTATTTCAAACTTAAAAAATAAAATAAGAATAAGAAGAAGGAAAGAAAGATGTCTTTCTGGCCATTTTACTAAGCGATAGCCCACGAAGAAAAATGTCAAGAAACCTGAAATTCTCACAAGTCCCACGTCAAAACCTGTGTCTATACAAGTCCCCAGGCAGGGTGATGAGGGACAGTGGGAGAGTGGCCAGATGTGCTGATGGTAACTCCGCCTGGCATCCAGGGATGGGACTCGAAGCACATCAAGGTCCAGTTACTGGGAATCTGAGAGGTAGAACCAGACACCTGGTTAGACGTCACATCCTCTGCACAATCAAGGCTTAACGCTGCATTTACCTGGATAGCAACAGTTCAGTTTCTTTTGAGCAGGTGCAGCTGCAGGCTTTTTGGTGCGTGTCTTGGCAGGGAGAGAGATGACAGTAGCTGTCTGGTTTTCATTGCTTTCCGTGGGCAGGTAAGTCTGATAACCATGTTCAAAAACAAATTCGGGGGCTGAAACTAAAAGAGATGATGATTATTACTTTTCCTTATATGAGCACCCCACAGCAACCTCTGTGCCTTTGCACATATTATCAGGAGAAACCAGTCCCTGGAGAAGGACATCATGCTTGGTACAGTGAAGGGTCAGCAAAACAGAGGAAGACCTCCAACCACAGGGCAAACACAATGAGCTCAAGTTTAACAATGATTGTAAGTATGTTGTAGGAGCGGGTAGTGTTTCATTCTGTTGTGCATAGGGTCACTATGAGTTGGAACTGACTGGACTGCATCTAAGAACAACATCATCATGAAATCCGTTAGCTTACAATTGAAATGTATTGCTGGTTTCTTTCTTTTAAATATTTTATTGTAAATTATGTGATAGTTTACATGGGAGAACATTAGCTTTACAGTCATCCTATAGTATATCGTTTCATTGCCATGGTTACAATCCCTCCATGCATCATCAACCAACCAAAGGGTATACACTACAAGCCTGCCTCTCTGGTTGTCAGCACACAGCCCCTCTCCCTCTCTGGTTCTAAAGTCCCCAGCAGCTCCATCTCTGCACATCATCATCTCTGGCTCCATTTCAGGCATCACTGTTTCTCTGGGTAGGGTTCCGTTCTCTGATCTTCTCCCTTGATGGTCCCAGGGACCTCTGCTCCTAGACCGAAAAGTTAATCACTCCCCTCATTGCTACAAAACGTCTACCTTTACATTTCAAACCCTGTCAGTCCTGATAGCAATTATTCACTATTGTATCACAAGAGACCCATCTGCATCTCCTTTCGTTAGCCCGGCCCAGACAGATTGGATACTACCTTCCTCCACACCCTCTTTTTCTTCTTTTTTTTTTAAATTTATGGCGGTAAAATATAAATAACAAAACATTGGTCATTTTTAACCATTTTGCATCAGGATTATGAGTTATTCATGTTGTAGCATGAATGCGAATTTAATTTCTTTCTAAAGCTGAATAATATTCCATCGTATGGTAAGGTCATCAACTCAGTTCAGACTCATAGCAACCCTGTATAGGGTCTCTGAGGAGCAACTGGTGGGTTTGAACCACCGAACTTGCAGTTAGCAGTCCAGTGCTATCCTATGCCTCTACCACACACACACTCACACACACTCCATTTATCTGCTGATGGACATGGGTGGTTTCCACCGTTTGGCCACGGTGAACAGTGCTGCAGTGAACATTGGTCTACAACTATATGCTTTCAAATCTGTAGTGTCTTTGCACTGAAGTTTTTGAATAAAAAAACAAAAAACAAAACTCTGAATATGAAATTCCAAATTTCATTTTTCTTTTTTGCTTATAAAAGAATTGTGTGACTACTTTGTTACTTTAACAGTCTAAAGTTTAGAGCTTGGAAATATTCTTTCTTCCTTTGCTGGTGGTGGTGGTGGTTATATGCCATGGAGTCAGTCCCGACTCATAGCGACCCTGTACAGGGTTTCCGAGGCTGTAAATCTTTATGTGAACAGAAAGCCTCGTCTTTCTCCCATGGAGCAAGTGGTAGATTTGAATTGCTGACCTTGTGGTTAGCCAGTTTGTAATCCACTATACTGAAATGTAAACTTTATCAAAGATCTTTGACCTATATCAGAAGTAGTTTACCAGGGCTCCTTTGGTGTTGTTTTGTTGTTAAGTGCTATCGAGTCAGTTCTGACCCATAGTGACCCTGTATAGGGTTTCCAAGGAGCTACCGGTGAGCTTGAACCGCCGACCTTGCAGTTCAAACAGCTTCGCAGTCTGGTGCAATAGGGCTCCTTTAGTATAATGTAATTTGTCACATGGAAACTTGACTGAAAATACAGAGTAACTCTGAGGAATTGGGACTGGCTTTTGGGTGAACTTGTACAGGAGAGAGAACCTAATGTCACTTCTGAGCAGCATTTTCACAGTCTGCTCCCCCAGCTTCAGTCCCAGGGCACCACCACCTTTGACATTTTTCCATTTTACTTAATGACTGTATTTACTGGTAGCCCCCAACTTACACGGGCTCTCTTCTGATGGCTACATTGTAAACTGCTTCTGATATAGGTCAAAGATCTTTGATAAAGTTTACATTTCAGTATGATTGCCCTTGATGACCAATACCTGTATACTGATGCTTATTTGGCTAGCAAGCTTCCAGGTGATTCTAATGTATGCTCAAGTTGTAGCGCCACTGACAGACAGTGCTGACCTCAGCACCTCAGCAGCAGACCTCACCACAGCTCTGTAGAATCCAGGGAGTTCACCTTCTAGATGGCTCCTTTCAAGAACAGATGGAATGCAGCTATTCCTCCAACAACTCAGTAATAGCTGATCTACACCGCTTCTCGCTCCAGTTTCTGTGAGAGTGTGTATGAGTGTGTGTGACAAAATACATGTGTATGAGTGTGTATGCGTGTCTGTGAAAGAATGTGTGTGAGTCTGCATACTATGTATAAACAGTATAGTGTGTGTGTGTGTGTGTGTAGCAACTGTGTGACATACGTGTGTATGAGTGTGTATGCATGTCTGTGAAACGATGTGTGTGGGTCTGCATACTATGTATAAACAGTATAGTGTGTGTTTGTGCAACTGTGTGACATACTTGTGTATGAGTGTGTATGCATGTCTGTGAAAGGATGTGTGTAAGTCTGTGTACTGTGTATAAACAGTATAGTGTGTGTTTGTGCAACTGTGTGACATGTGTGTATGAGTGTGTATGCATGTCTGTGAAAGAATGTGTGAGTACTGTGTGTAAACAGTATTTTTGTGTGTGTGTGTGCGCGCAACTGTGTGACAATGTGTGGACAAGTGTGTGCTGTGTAGTGTGTATAAATGTGTGTGAGACAATGTGTGTATGAGTGTACAACTGCGTTTGAGACAGTGTGTGTATGAGCGTGTGTGTGTTGTGTCCAGTGTGTATATGTGTATAGTGTGTATGAGTGTTGTGTATGAGTGTCAGTATTGTTTGCAAGTGTTGAGTGTATGCAAAAATATTGTATGAATGTGTGTCAGTGTGTGTGTGCACACAAGTGTGTGACAATACGTGTGTATTGTGTGTGTGTGGGGGGGAGTATAGTGTATCGTGAGAGAATACTTTGTATGTGTGAATATTGTAGAAGGTGTGTATATGTGTATGGTGTATGTGAGAAAGACAATATGCATGTATGTGTGTGCGTGTGCGTGTGTGTGTGTGTATGAGTGAGTATGGAGAATCCTGGTGTAGCGCTGTAGGATCAGCACTGGACAGTGAACCAAAAGGTCAAGAGTTCAAACCTACCAGATGCTCTTCAGAAACCCCATACAGGGTCGGTATGGTGCCTCTTAACAACACAACACAATATGTGTGAATATTGTGTAGCGTATGTACGAGGAGTATGCATGAGAGTGTGCATGCATGAGTGTGAGTATGTATGTATGCGTGTGAGTTCGGTGTATGAAAGTATGTGAGTGTGTGGCTCTGAGTGTGAGTGCATGTGTGTTTGAGTGTGTAGTCCGGTTGGCCTAGGGCGAACCTCTGTCTCCACCATTCACCTTTAGCTGAAGGCCCTTTTACCTCGTCACCTCATGTGTCTGTTGTTGGCTTCTTTTGACAGTGAGATGGGGATATTAGCAGGGATCTTAAGCTTTGTTCTAGTAAAGACTCAACGAGGTGAAGAGACAAAGAGCAGCCCAGGGTAGGTGTCAGCTGCTAGTACTGTAATTATGGAAACAATACTAGATTATCATCCCACAGTCTGCACTTGGTTTTGGTATAAGGTGTGACCTTGGCCATGGGGAACATGCGTGCCCAGCACAAGTCCATGCAGCAGGGACAATCATCTTGGGAGTGATTCTAGCAGAGGTGTGACTTGTCCAGAAACATGGTTCCTAGCCCTTCCTTTCATCGAGGCCGTAGCAACGGGCACAGCTTTCTGTGGGGGTTTCATTTCCAACTTCTTGCCAGCACACAGGTCTCTTCCACTACCCTGTTGTGATGCCTACAACCAAGTCCCCTGTTGAGACGCCTCACAACACCTGGCCCCCAGCAACTCCCAACATCACACACTTGCCGCTGGCCTTTGGTGTCTTTGTTTTGCCCCCTGCTTTCCAGAGTGTTCAGGTGCATATAAGAGGCCTGTTTGCTTTATTACATCCTGGTTTGCAGCAGAAGGGGCTTGGATCTCTAGGTTATTCATTCATGATCTGGTTTAACATGTAAGGTTGCACATGAATTTAATTGAATACCAAAATCTTTTTTCTGGAAGCTTCTGCTGATTGATCTCTGACACCCATTGGGCTCTAACGAACTAACTAAATGCAGCCCCTCTTCCACACAACTGCCCCTCAAATACGAAAAGACACTCCGCATCTCCCCAAGCCACCTGCTTCCATTTCTCTCAATTTTAAAAACTCCATGTTGAAGCCTTTTTTTTAAGTTGAAAACATTTTGTCATTTAAAAAAA